ATGCCCAAATAATTTTTACACTAAACAGTAGGAGAAAGCTTCACAGAACACATATTTTCATGGATGAGAGGTACTTCTGGCTCCTAACACAGGTATTTGGTGTGGAGTGGGTCTGGACCTCAGGGTGCATTCAAGCAGCACATGGTACCAGAGCAGAGAACTACAAGCTTAGACTGCTGAACATTAGCTTTCACTGCCAAAAAGGAATAAGTGGAAAAACCCTACAAAAGTTTATTGGACTCAAGTTTTGACGGACAGCCAAAACCCATTATTAGAAAATTTCTGAATAATTTCAACAAGGCATCCAGCTTGGATTTATAAATTATTACAGTCATTCTCTTTCAGCATTAAATCTTGACAAGGTCTTTTTCACCAGGGCTGCCAATCTCTCTGTGACAAGACTGACAAAGGCTGAAATTGTGACCTTCAAATATAGAGACAAATTGCTGATCATCCTGCCAAAGGGCACTCGCAGGTAGCTCAGCACTAATTTTAGGCTGATTGAATATCCTTTACTTCTTACAGTAAGAAACCTGTGCCATGTAAAACACAATACCTCAGGGGTGAATAACACAATATGTCAGGGATGAGAAACAATACACTTCAGTAATTTTGGAAAATTTCTGTATTTCTAACTATAAGAAATGTAACCATACAGTCCATATTAACAAATGCCTGGGAGATCAAGAATCAAAAGAGGATTACTTCTGATTCCCTTGCAAAAGCTATCCAAGGAGGAAGGAAAAGATGATCCAGCTCATTCTTTCTTTGTGCAAAAATGGTGAATAAAGGACTTTTCCTGTATTTGTCAAGATCAGTAAAATTATATCAAGCATCATATTCAAAGAATCAGACAGTTTTAAACTACAACTCCCAGGAGCAATGATCAGGATAATCAGGTACTTCGAACCATATTCTTTAAATAAATAATTTTATTTCTGTCTCAAAAAAAAAAAAGTTTGTTTTATTTGTTAATTACACTTCTCTACACAAAGTAACCCTTGTGTCTTCCTATTAGGTTCATACCTGTCTTCAAGCACCAGTGAACCCTGCCATTCACTGGGAACAAAAGCACCTACAGTTCCCGCTTTCATTGGCAGTTTCTTTTTACACTGGATATAAGCCAGACTCAAACTGTTTGAGGGGGGAAGTAGCAGACACACATAAGCCACTATTTATTTCCAGTCCTCATAACAAGACACCTGATACAAGCAAGATGAAGAGAAATGCAAGGATTCAGTGTATAAGCATGGGAACTCACAAGGATGAAAGTTGGAAGGATGGCAGAAAAGGAAGGGGGAGGGTGGAAACACACTAATTTGGTTTTCAGCTCAAAGGTTCAGCTCAAATGCATTTTCCCAGGTGAATGCACTGTTGTTGTGACACAGAGACCTGGACAGCTCAGGTGTGCTTAAATCACAGTGTGCTTAAATCACACTGATTTTTAACTAACCAGTTCCAGGAAGAGGACCTTCAATCAGGAGAACTGATCACTGCTGGTGAGCAAATATTTCTCATTCTTAAGTCTCCTTTAGTACAGCAATGAGGTTTGGTTCCAAATACCTTACAAAGTTAGTTATACAAAAAGACAGAAAATTGATAGATGCATAGAGATTAGCTAGCAAATGTTTGTTCTGGCAGAGAGTTGAAGGTAATCTATATGGTGTTATCTGTCATTGTTTTCTCTAAGTCAATTAATTAATGTTGTATCATGTAGTATCAAAAATTCAGATTATTAAATTTAAACTATCTCCAGCTGCAGCTTGATAAATTATCCTTCCAAAACCCTACTGGTTTTCAATAGAATGATAATCAAATATTAAGCTTCAGATAAATATACTTGTGATTTGAAGAGATCTATGCTTTGATTTTTTATGAATACATAATGAAAGAAAGAACTGAATTGTGCATTCCATGTCTGCTTTAGAAAGACATTATCTGGTGTGATTTCAAGCCATATCTATTCATGTATAAATATAATTTTAACATGTTAATAGAAATGATAATTTGTCAACAGCTAATTAGTAGACTGATACTAAAGATAGTTGCTGATTTTCACATACAGTTGCTACAAATACTCATTTTCCAAGACTATAGTAGTATGGTGTAATGACCTGCTTTAGCTGACCGAAGTTAGTGGTTTGCACAAACATGGGGAAAACTTGAATGAAATTTTTGTTGAGGATTTATTCAAAAATTCTCATCCCCCAGACTTAAACAAAAATTACAGTCTCCCCTTAGGAAACACTGGAAAACTTCTCATTTTCTCATTAAACATCAATAATCTCCAATCATCATGTTACTGAGCATAATAAGTAAGCTCCAAAGGAGACTCCTTTCTAAAACTCAGTCAAGAGTAGCCAACATGAATGAGCCTAGGGGAGTATGTAAAACAAAGAACAACTCAACAGTTGTGATGCCATACGTGGGTAAAGGGAATCGTTTTGGGACAAGACTGAAGGGAAAAATATTATAATGAATATATTGATTATTTTACCAACATAGGGAAATTTTTCAGAAATATAAGATTCTTACTACAAGATGATATTTTTTCCTAAATTTTTGCATATTTTAATATACAAATTTTTCTCCATATGAATAGAATTCTTTTCTCAGGTTAGGATTGCCAGTTATTGGAAACGGAGTTTTAACTTGTTCACAAGAAATTTAACTGCTAACAATGATTCTGCAATGTTAAGAGATTCATTAAAGCATCACTTTTCTTGCTTTTCAGTCCTAAAAAACATGAAGCGTTTTCTTTTGCCAGTGCTCAGAGTCATAATTCCACACTGAATATCATTCCTCCAAAAAATGGAGTCTCTAGTGAGAACTGATAGAACTAGGTAGTATTCTGGGCTATATGCATTACATTTTTTAACTCAGTTGAAACCATCAGGTATCCACCTGAATATCAGAGTTTGAATGCCTAAATATGATTTCACTGGACTGAAAGACCAATTAATTAAAAAAAAAATTGGATTTTTAATGCCTTTCTTCAACTCTTCCTTCTGTTCTCTGACTTTTATCAAGGACAGATGTTACTGAATTTCTTATAATGATCTTTGTCAGGAAGAGAATACTAAAGCAGCCAGGAGCACAGATGAATTGTTTTATTCAGAAGGACTTCAGCTGAAAGTCAGTGTAAAAAAAGCTGTGAAGAATAGGAAAATTTTTCAAGTTTTCATTGTGAGAAACTGATGAAAATTTCTTTAATATTTATCTCACAGTCCTTAACATCCTGGTTCACAGAGTGCAGACTTTAAAAATTATGGCAATTTCAACATTTTGGATGGATTTGCCCATTTAAAATATATTATACTTGGAGGCAAATATTTGCCAATTTTCCTATTTGATTAACGAGGATATCATGAGACATCTTTTGCCAAAAAAAACCCTAATATAAAAAAAAAAAATCCCATGCTGTTATGTTCCACTGAAATTAAGAAACCTATAGCACTGTCTTGAAATTGTCATAATCCAGCATTACAATATTTGCTAGTTCATAAGAATCAGTTGAGAACAGTCCCCTGCAACCTAATTTTGACAGCTGATAGCAGTGTTTCACCGTAAAATTAAGTATTTCCATTTTGCATTTTTCTCACAAAAGCAGGCATTTCTAGAACTAACCAAAGCAGTCTCTGAAGTATAGATTGTTAGAATGCCACTAACACATTGATTTACACTGTGTGAGGTGACAAATCCATGTGACTAAAGTTGTTGCTTTGTTTTCCAGTTTCCTTGCTGCATTGAAAGGGAAATAATGCTCCATTCAACATTGGCCTTGTCCCTTCTGTTAATTGCAGTCACTTCTAACCTTGCAATGGCAATTAAAAAGGAAAAACGAGCACCTCAGACACTGTCAAGAGGTATTGTATATTTATTGTATGTAGTTACGTCCTTACCTTGCCATATGGGTCAGCAAATATTTTTCTTTTAAATGTACATTCACACTTACCAAGGTGTGTTTCTCCAGTGTTAAGTGACACTCTGAGTAATGCATGTTCGTATTTTATGTCATTTCACTCCACCACTTTATTCTTAAGGATATGACTGAGGGCCTCATATAAACGGCATAATTTATGTAACTCACATTGACCCAGCAGAAGCAAATAACCCAAAGTGAGTCTCTCAAATCAGGATGTATTTTGTAGGACTATCAGTGAAAAAATATTCTTTCATGTGCCATTTGAAAGATATTTTATTATGGCAACTTACCAACTGCTGAAACAGTTTCATAACTTCCGTTGCTATGGGACATGGGACACTTTTTCTACAGACCCATTTTTGTACACAAAACCATTTGAACCATTGGTGTGGTTTTCTGTATGACTTTTTTTTTCCTTTTAATTTTCATCAGATATCCACTGCAAAGCATGACTGTGAGTAATTCACTTCCTTGTGGTGCATAATTTTCAACCTGGTTGTTAAATAAAGACCTTGTTTTAAGTAATTTATGTCTGACCAATCCTTAGAAATACAAGCAGAAAAAAAGCTCAGCAAGCTCTTTTCCCCTTCTCCATATTCCATCTCCTTTTGGAACTATTAAGCACAAAATATCTCCATCTCCCTTCCTGACCTCTTCTACAAACTGTGTAAAGCTTGCAGATCCCACAGCTCACCTCTGAGGTTTCCCAATTCTAGCAAAGTTACACGTGTCACAGAGGTTCCATCTGAGTCTAATTGCTCCAAGACCACTTAACAAAATCATGCAACACCTGGACTATCCAAAGAGAAATTTCAAATCACTTTTTGTAAGCAGTATCCTGGGGGAAAGTTTATAATCAACCCAGTATGTAGATTAGGATTTATTGTTCCCACTAAGCCTGAATGCACAGGAACATGGTAAAAACTCTTACATTCTGGTGGTTTTGAAAAAAAAAGCAGTGACAGAAAGCAGGTGTTGCTTTTCTAATTCTGATTTCAGGCCCTTCGGGATGCCTTGCACACTTTACAAGTAATTTTCACAGATCAAAGGGGAATACTCAAACCTGCTCGAAAATGACTCCTACTCCTCTATGTAGATGCCTTCAGCAGCAGCTGACTGCGGCCAGGGTTGGGAAGGCACTGGTCAGCATGCCAGAATCCCATCATCAGCCAGAAAGATCTGTCTACTGAAGGAAGAGGTGATCCAGTAGAATCAAAAGCAATTGTCCTGTGAGAAATCTAACAGCAAATCTGGGCTGGTTCAAGCACTGTCCAGACCACACAGAAGAAACAGAGCTCTAAGCTGATCCAGATCCAGAAATTCTCTACAATTCCCATGAGGGCTGTCATGAATGGAGCCACACTGCCTAGGATGCAGGGATCTACTACAGAGGGGCTGAGACCTTTGGGAGCTGAAGGCATAAAACCAACTGGACAATTTGCTTTTTGAGATCTGTGCTACAGATGAGCTATGAAGCTGATGATCTATTGGGATTTTGTTTTGGTGGAGACTTTTATTTAACAGCCATTCTTTTATGAAATTATTTAATTAAATTACATACTTGCAATTCCAGGGATTGAAGTTCATTGCTTTGGAGTGAAATTTATAACCCAAGACTGTTCTAATGACATTCATATTAAAGCTGATCTTATTCGAGCTGTCATATTTTATTTTTCTCTTTTATATGCCAGCTTCTCTTTAAGTCCCAGGGTCAACATGAAATATGGAGCAGATAACAAAAAGATATAAAGGATTTGGGTGCTCATTTAGGGACTTCTGAGCATTTAGAAAGATAGCCAGCTAGTCTGTCAAAGAACCTGAGCTGGATACACAACCAGCTGAGATTTTTGGGGGGGTTGGTTGTTTGGTAGGGGTTTTTTAATCTTTCAGTGTACCTATTAGGAGATGTAGAATTAGTATATCCATAATGTTAGAGAACTTTTGACTAAAAAACCCAAATCTTATTTGTGTACAAGTGTTGATAAATATTAAAAAAAGAAAGGAATTTGTTATTAGTTACTTTCCTGGCCACCAGCTAATCCACTTGTTATACTTCTAGGGTGGGGAGATGAAATTACCTGGGTACAAACTTATGAAGAAGGGCTTTATCAAGCAAAAAAAAGGTAAGAGATTAAAAAGTAGTATGAAGACAAAGTTGTTACTCTGACGTGCTGGAATACACTATAGTAAAACAGAACAAAGAAACACCGTGACAGCTGATCTGCAGACCACCCAGTTAAATAAAACAGACTGTGTCTATAAATAAAAGCCCTTGTAGGGATCTTATGACTCTGAAGTAACATTATGGGCTGACAATGTAATGCTGTTATTTCTTTGTCACAAGAGCAGTGTTGTCATTTGAATTAACAATGATAAATAGATACCATAATTTTTTCAATTACATCTGTTGTGTTTTAATATCATGTACCTTTGATTACTTCCTTGAAATCAGTTGTGTTTGTTCTTGCAGGGAGATATGCTTCCTCTGATGTTTTCCCCAACACTTTATTAGTTGGAATATGTCCATGATATACTCACAGTTTCTCACTGTCTTGGTAGAAATGGAAGTTCCAATCTGAATTTTCTCTGGAACTCTGCTGAAAATATATTTGAGAATTCATAACGACACCTATTCAGATATATTTTACAGTTCATTTTAAATCACAATAGTGTAGCATCAGCTATTGCTAAATTAAAGGCCAATTATTTTTAAAATAAAAGACAATTGATATCATGTATCATAGGTGAAAATGGCTAGAAACTAACAACTCTTGACAGTGATAGCAGATCAAGGATTAGTAACTGATTTGCTGATCAGTAAATGTAGTTTAAAAAAATACAGGAGAAAATGCAGAGAATTTTTTTTTTTTGACATCCAAAATATAAATCTTATAAAAATTATTTTATTCCTGTTCATACAGATTATTTTTATTTTCTTAATCATGGAGAACTTCATACCCGAGCAACATTAAATAGCTCTTCAGTTTGATTATTTATTATCTGGGAATGAAATTATGGAGGAACTGTTGTTTCTTTCTTTTAGAATCTCTTACTATAGACAACCTATTTAGATGTAGAAACTCTATTTCTCTGTTTCTCTTTTATGAAGTATTTATGCTCCCTTCCCTTGCTCAAAAATATCTGTAATACTTTACTGAATGTCTGTACGGCTTTACTGTGGGGTAACATGGGATTAAACACAATTTGCCTTTTTCAATCTGCTAGTCAATTCATCCGTTTACCTACTTGTCAAATCATCTAACTACATCTTTTATTCTTATTAATAAAGTAACAAGCCACTGATGGTGATTCATCATTTGGAAGACTGTCAATACTGCCAAGGTAATTTTGATTTTTTGTGTGTTAAAATATTGTGAATATTTTTATAAGAAACTGAACCTATCTATATATTTACCTTACACTTAGGAAATTATTTAAAGAAACAGGCAAATGAAAATGTATCTGAAAATTGAAGAATTTATTACCACTATCTACAAAAACTCCACTATGAAACTACCCAATAAAGAACATGAAAAATACTCAGCGCTGCTGTACTGCTATCCCAAATGCAGCACTCATCAGTTTAAATTAAGAGGCACAGATTTGCTACTGACTCATTAAACAGATTTAATATTGTTTGGGTCTCCTGAACTAGTAACTAAAGAAGGAGGCGAGGATAGGGCTGCTGAAATTGATCTAACAAGAATTTTCTGAGAATAATGCACTTTTGTCAAGCCAAGACATGGTATCCATTGAGATGACAGGCTTCATAAATAACAGAAGAGAGCTTCCATTTTCACAGCTGGGAGGTTGTACTGCCATGGGTCAAAAAACCCCCAAAAGCAGTCATAGAGCCCTTAAGTGTCTCCTCAGGAATGTGAAACAGCAGAGTCAGGAACAATGTGGCCAGTCTCTGACCAATATGATGCCCAAACGCAGATGGAAAAGCAGAGTTTGAGATGGACTTCAAAGTTTATCCTGTCTTTTCTAGCGTTGAAGAAAGCTTTTGCAGAAAATGAAGAAATACAGGAAATGGCCCAAAATAACTTTGTTATGCTGAATCTCATGGTATGAAGGGTTTGGGGCGATTTGACTGGTATCTTTTTATGGTTTGTGTTTTCTCTTTCTTTGTCTTGTTTTTTCATGTCATTTTAGCTAATATCTCTGGCATTTTAGTTATATAAGTAGAGGCATTTGTGCATGTGTATTTACATACAAGTAATGCCTATCCAGTTTTGTCCCTCTGGTACAAGGTTATTCACAGGTGGTACTACTCAGCAAAATATACAGAAGTATTTTAATAACTAGCTTTCATTTTTCTGCCAGCATGAAACCACAGATAAAAACCTGTCACCTGATGGACAATACGTGCCTCGAATCATGTTTGTAGGTATGTACAATATTTATGTATCTTCAAGGATGTGATATCTGAATTATGCCAGTGTTCTTTGGGGACATCAGAATCATTAATTTTGCAAGAGGTAAACAGATCGCTGCCTCTGTTGCATACTTTGACCCTTGTAAACTTCCTTAAATTAGAGATGTGTTCTGGAGGGTACCTAATTTTGACCTGGGGACAAGATGCTTAAAAATCTATTAACATCTGGGCTTTTGCTCTTCGTGCTTCTTCCTAGTACTGTTATAAGACAAAGTTCACTGAAAAAGTCAAATATCTGACTGAATGTAGATGTCTATAGTGTGGATATTACCACAGAATAAATCAATAGTCAGTGGCATCTAAGGAACGATTTATCCCATTGTAAAGCAGACTTCTGGAATGGATCAAATTAATTATGCCCCAGAGTGCCTGTTCATTTTCACTGATTGAACAGGAAGCCTAGAGTGACTAGCTCTTTGGTGGCAGCCAAAGTTCAGTGAGATGAAGCCCACACTCAGACAGAGAGCAGGGCAGTTACAGGAGTCAGTTAATTACCAAAAATCCTGGAAGGGAAACTGGAAGAAGATATGTCCACAATAACCTGTTCCCACGCTGGGAACATTAAGAATCATGAGATTTTGGTTCTGAAGTCTCTAGGTAGGTCATGCTAATATTGCTGTAGGGATGCATGACCCTCACTGTGTATGCATCCAGCCAAATTAGCTTCTCCTGATGTAAACCCAGAACTTGTAAAACAGGATATTTTCCTTTAAATATGGATGAAATGCATGTGTAACCTAGCACTTAAAAATAGCTGCATAATATAAAAATGAGCATAAGCTTTTGTTCAGGATTTCTCCAAGTAAAGGGCAGTTGGCTGGAACAGAGCATAACGGCCTCGTAATTGCCTCGTTGATGAAATCAGAAACAGAGCTGACAAAGCAGTGCCACACAGTCACCCACAGCTGTTGTGGGAATGGAAGGCAGTGATTAATACAATTACCTTTTCAGACCCATCTCTCACAGTACGAGCTGATATCACAGGAAGATACTCCAACCGGCTTTACACGTATGAACCGCAAGACATACCATTCTGTAAGTGCCCCCTTTGTTGAGTTTGCATTTCACATTGTAAGCAGCCAGACACCCCATCCCAATCATGTGTGCGTGAGAATCCATTAGGATCTCAAAGTAAAGAATAAATACTGTGGGTGAGCATTTGCAATAAATTATAATGGTCTAACCTGTTCAAGCAAAACAATCACACCTATTGTCCCATTGAATTTATTGGGGCTACTCAGGCACGAAAAATTGAAAGATCGTGGGTGAGAACTTTCAGGATCGAGATCTGAGCAGTTTGCTGAAGAACAGCGAAAGTTATACTTATGCAAGTCATACTTGGACATTCAAAAGTATCCAACTGCACAATATAAATAGCCAATGGTGGGAGGGAATCAGTAAAGAAATGCTGGTGCTTACTTCGGTATCACCTAACACACATATTTCAGAAAGGAATGTGATTTTTCAGGTTCAGCCAGTCCTCACTCTATATCATCTATCTGACACCGGTGCAATATCTCACCACAAATATGCACATCACATCTGATTACCAGGCTTGCTGTTGAGAAATGAGGGAGTTGAAAGGGGCCTTGTCAAATCCCTTTAAGTTAAACATTCTAATTCATTAAACTTTTTACCTTCTGCTTTAGGAACAATGCCAGAATTTTCACAATAGAAAGCTCTAAAACATAACATGTGACCATGAATTAATTTCAGTGTGAACAATTTACTAAATCAAAGTAGGAAGGGTTTTTTTTAATTTTACAAATGCACTTTTAATATATTTTTACAGTTCTTATTTATTTTTCTTTCAGTAATAGAGAACATGAAGAAAGCACTACACCTCATTCAGACTGAACTGTAACCAGCAACAGTGAAATTACCATAACTTCTACGAGGTGAAGCTGCACCTCTGTCTCTACTAGAATTTTGAACTCTTACCAAGCAGTTTGGTATATCAGATTTCTTAAGAACAATTTGGAGAACAAATACAGAAAGACTATCACAGCCATTTGCAAAATAAGAAGATAAATATATTAAACACTTTGAAATTAGTTATCTGAATAACCGAAAGTGATGGTTTAAGGTGCGGCAACTTTGAGCTGTATTTTATCAATCCAACTCTGACCCTATTAAGTCAGCTATGACTTCTGACCAGGAATTATAAACAATCTTTTGGATCTCTATTTGCAATTTATTACATAAGTGAATAGCTGCATGTTGTCTCTCCATTTTAATTTTTATTGCAAGAAGCTTGTTAGTTGTTAGTTTACCTCTGCTTTATACACTTATTTCTTGTTAAAAGAAAATAAACTTTGGTGTCAAATCAGACAAGAAAGCTCTTCTGATAGATTTTGGAATGGCTTATACAGAAAAAAAACAGTGATCTGGGCTTAGCTTTCCCCTGTGTAATCCTTTAACTATTGTTCCGATAGCTGAAAACAGGACAGACATTCCAGACTGAACATGTGGTCTCAGTGAGGTGATAACCATCAAAGAGCAACTACAGGTTTTGCTATGATAAAGATACAGTGAAGCAAGAGAGATGGAAGGAAATAGTCCCAGAACCCCACTCTTAAGTGAGGATAAGTGATGCTTGTAAAGTGTCATATAGGAAAAATGAGGAGGCTTTTCCTAGCTCTTTTCATTTAAACAGTGCACTTGAGTCATGGGAAACTCATCCCAGGTCGTTCCCTCTTTCTGTAGCATTCCACCATGAAGGTGGCAGCTTATTGAGAGAATCTGTAAATACAAGGCCCTTGGAAAATTTCCCTAGGATCACTGTATGCAAGGGTGGACACCTGTATGAGTAAAAAGCTGAAGTAGTTTATTATCCCAGCAATGTAATTTTTTGTTAGAGCAAAATAGTCATCAATTCACCTGCAGCAGGACCATGTATGTTGTGTGACGTGCAAAACACCAGTGTCATTTGTGCTACCTGCTGTTTCCTATGATGCTGCCTGAATACACACATAAAAGATGAAGGAAGGACTTCTGCAGCACAGCCTTGCTAATTTATAATACCTAGGAGTTATTTGTCATGAATTAGTTATATTGCACCTATCTATGTCTTCAGAATTACTTAAAATTTGGATATAAGTGTATATTCCAACAGAGTGTGATAAATTGCCTGTACATGAAGAGGAAAAAATTATTGTATTAGTCATTAATAATCATCATCATCATCATCATCATCATCATCATCATCATCATGGCGAGGCTTCGCGAACGAAGATTTGGGAAGGCTCTATCCACATTTGCTACAGGCACGTTTGTGGCTTATGAGGTCAATACGTGACAGACACATCCGATTGCAAAAGGCACAGCAGAAAGACTCCTTAGATGGTGTATTCTGCAATTTACGGTTCTTTCTGCGCTGCCTTTTTTCCTCGAGAGTGATCCTACATGTGTTCTCGAAGGAGACAGCTGCGTTATAGATGGTGTGTCTCCAGGCCTCCCGATTTGAGGCCAGAGTAGACCAGTTGTGTTGATCAATATGGCCAAGGCTGAGATGTTGTTTCAGGGAGTCCTTGTATCTTTTCTTCGGGGCTCCTCTCATGCGACAGCCAGTGGCAAGTTCACCATAGAGTAGGATCTTAGGGAGGCGGTGGTCCTTCATCCTTGAGAAGTGCCCTGCCCATTGCAGTTGTGTTCTCAGTAACATGGCCTCAATACTTGTGACAGCTGCTTGCTCAAGAAGTGTTGGTCACATAATCTGACCAGTGGATGTTTAAGATTGAGCGGAGGCAGCGTTGATGGAAGCGTTCTAGGAGACGCAGGTGGTGGCGGTAGATACTTGTGCGCTGTAAACTCAATTTCAAGCTCAAATTCAAACCAAAAAGGGGCAGCATCCCAAGGAGAAGGCTCCAAGTTAACAATCTCCAATCAGCCACAGTAAGAGACAGTTTCCAGGCAAACCTTCAAACTAGGCTCGAAAACCTTCCCACAGTTTCTGCAGATTCCTCTCCTGAAACAATCTGGCACCATATTAAAAACAGCATTCTGCAATCTTCTGAAGAAACCTTAGGCTTCTCCCTCAAGAAGAACAAGGACTGGTTTGACGAAAACAACCAAGAAATCCAAGACTTGTTGAGGAAGAAGAGAACCGCCCACCAAGCACACCTTGCACTCCCATCCTGTCATGCAAGAAAAACAGCCTTTCGTCTTGCATGCAGCAAGCTCCAACAGAAACTCCGTGACATCCAGAACAAGTGGTGGATCGATCTAGCTGAAAAAACTCAACTATGCGCTGATACAGGTGATCACAAAGGTTTCTATGAGGCCTTGAAAGCAGCATACGGGCCTACATACCAGGTACAAAGCCCTCTACTCAGCGCAGATGGGCAAACGCTTCTAACAGATAAAACCTCCATTCTGAATCGATGGTCTGAACACTTTCAGACTCTTTTCAGTACCAACCGTGTAGTCCAAGACTCAGCAATTCAGTCCATCACACAACAACCGGTGAAACACGAACTGGATACTGCCCCCACTTTAGGAGAAACCCTCAAGGCCATACAGCAGGTGAAAATTGGCAAGTCATTAATAATAACAATATCTTAATAATCGGGGCCTCTGGTGGTCTAGTTGTTAGGGTGCAGGACTCTCACCGCTGCGACCCGGGTTCAATTCCCAGCCCCCCGGGCAGATGGAGCTCGTCAGCCTTGTAAGGCAATCCAAGAGAAGGTCACTCTAAACAAACCTACATCTTGGGGACCTCACTGCCACTGTCCAAGCTTGCTCGGCCCCGGCAGATGAACCTCAGGATTAAAGGGTGGGCTCAGTTCAGCGCACACTGGGTCTCACCTAAAAAATCCACTGCGCAGGCTCGAAGGGTTAATGACCTTTCCCAAATCTTCACTCACGAAGACTGGCCATTATTATTATTATTATTATCTTAATAATCAGTTAAATGATTTTTTTAACCTATAGGGAAAATGCTAGAAGTAAAATTAAACTGGAAATCACATTTCTTTGATTTGTGTTTAGCTCTACTCATTTTTGTCTTTATCTATTCCAGATTTGGCAACATTTCCCAGTCTGTAGGTATTGCTCTTGCAGGCATGCCAGTGATGTTCAGGAGAAAGGGATGTGAGCTAGCTGCCAGAGATGACACAGGATAGCCATGACAGCCACTCAGCCTCCTTTTCTCCAGGCTAAACAACCCAGTACCCTCAGCTGCTCCTCATGACACTCGTGCTCCAGATCCTTCACCAGTTTCGTTGCCCTTCTCTGGACACGCATCTGCCCTGCTGGCCTTCCTCTCAATTCTCACCAATAAATACTCAACCCTATCACCAACATCATCAAGCTCTAGACAATCAAAAAACTCCCCAAAAAATAGGGCTGCCCCACCACTTCTCCTTCCTTGCCTGTCCCTTTTGAAGAGCTTATAGCCATGCATTGCAGCACTCCAGTTGTGCAAGTCATCCCACCATGTTTCCACGGTGGCAACCTACACCATAGTTTCCAGCTTCACAGTCTTCCAGCTCTTTCTATTTGTTGCCCATGCTGCGTGTGTTGTGTAGACGCACCTCAGTTGGGCTACTGATCCTGCCACATTTTTAGGGGAGAAGCCCTGATCCCTACATGACCATTCTCAGGCACTTCCACATTTTCTAAGGCATCAATAACCCTTGTGTCTTTGCTGCTATATGGATCTCCATCCCCTATCTCCATTGAGACCAAAGGACCTCGCTAGCACACCGTCCCTCAAGTATTTGTGTGCCACTACCAGGCTTATCTCTAGCGAACATGGTTTTATCCCCTTCAAATCTAATTTAAAATTCTTTATTCCTTTAGTGGATTCACTCATAAGCAAAGAGATGTCTGGAATCCCAAAAGATTTGTGATACAGAACCACAGTCCAGAACTCGCTTGGGCTCAGGAAAGCTAAACTCCATAGTCTGTCTTACCTCAGTGCTGCAAGAGAAAATAAATCATAGAATTACCACTTATTTGGATTGTGGAAGAAACAAGCAATGAAAGGCCTGGGCCTAAAAGGCTACTGTTGCTTTGCTAATTTTTGACATTTAATATTGAGTCAGCAGACAGGAAATAAACTGTGTGAATTAAATAAAATAAATAACCAAATTTTCAGAATAATACATTGATTACCTACTTCATTGTTGAACAAAAGTTAGTCTTTAGATCTACGCTGCAATGCATATTATTTCAACATCTGAAGAAAATCTGGATGAATTTCCAAAGGTATTATTGATACTGATTACACCTATAATCTAGAACAATATTTTCTACTGAAATAGGAGTTTGTAACAGTTTTAACAAACCACTTATTCAAGCAGAGAGCAGCCACTTTCCAGAGATGTCACAGGCACGTAAGCACCACTGTGTCAGATGAAATCTCTTTGGTGAGTGGCTAAAGGGGATTTCACTCTCTTCTTTCCTTTCTAAAATCCCTGTAGGTAGCTGGCTGAAATCTGTTCTCAGCCTTCCAAAATGAGACTAAATTTTTGTGATTCTTAAAGATGTAGATCCAGTCCTTTTGGTGGAGCTAGATATTCAGGTAAAAAACCACCCTGTATGTTGCACACGTACTTTTTATTCACAGCTTCATTCAACAATCATCCTTAATTTTAGAGCTGTGACTGTATTTCTGTCTTCTCCTCTTTGAAGACTGTTTTGCCAGGTAATATTTCTCCTGATGGAACAGACACTCAGATCTCAGATTAAAGTCCCATTGCTCCAGGAGCAGATAATAAGACTGCAACCTGTGCAATAACCTGTGCAATTCTTTCCCCTTTTTTCTTCTGAAATAAACAGCATAATAAATGGCATGATACACTAGTCTCTCTTTTCCTCCCTTTCTGTCTGCTTGCATGCCACACAGATTTATTCACAATATTAGTGGGCAGAGTTTTATTCATATTCTTTACTTCTCTTTTTCTTAAGAGAGTTGGAAACTGTTCCTTTTGTTCCTTGGTTATCTGGAACTAAACCAACTGGGTTTGTTTAACCTC